AGGACTTAATTGTATTCTTTTCATACTTTGGTAACTTAGATGTAATTATTACACTTGGGGTATTTTAGGTAGTTTCAATTATTTAAAAAAGTCAAAGGCCACTTTGGAATTATGACATGATATTTAGGCTATCCACATATATTTTCTCGTTAGATGAGGTGACGATTATCAAGTTTCAACAACTGCCTAAAGAAGAAATGGACATGGCTTGCGCATTATTTGCAGTAATGCCACTGAATTTGAAATTCGTGGTTTGATTGATAATCCGTTTGGCAACATAAAAGTTTAGCGCTGGTTTGACCTCCATTATTTCAATTTATAATGAAAAGAATAGTAATTTTTTGCAGAATACGTGACTAAAAGAAAATGAGAAGTTTTTGGATATATGCGTAATACTATTTTATTGGAGAATGTATTATTGATAAGAAGAGAGACAAAAATGAATTATAATTTAATAGGAGCCAAACGGGAGCTAAGCTAAGGGTGGACGCAACATGGTTCAGTCCGGTTCGAAAAGGAATCGAATCGAGTCGAGTATAAATGAAAATCTTAGCAATAGAACTATAGGTTCCGTATTTAACTACGGGACCGAACATGATCCAAACCAACACGTTCCAGTCCAATCTGATGCCTTGCATTGAAAATATGTAAACACAGTGTTCACTAATAAAAAAATTGAAAGAAGTTGCCGGCTATTAAACGAGATCATATACACATTGAAAATATGTAAACACGGTGTTCACTAATAAAAAAAAATTGAAAGACGTTGCCGGCTATTAAACGATATCATATACACATGTTAAGTGGTTTAAGTCACATATTTATCAACATTATCAAAAACACAATTCTACACATCATTAACAGAGCTCGAACTATTAAACACGTATGCCATTAATCAAGAATTCCAATTACGTCTATATTTGAAGTGGCAAATTCTCACTAAAATTGCTTTCAAGTTGCAAGTGAACAGTGTAACACGAAGTCTAAATTCAAAACAATTAGTTAACAATTAAATGTATAAAATTATTTAAGAATAGAATTCAATTACCCATGAAAGAATCAATAAGTTCAAAATAAAGAATCAAAGAAATTGATTAATTGAAGAGAATGAGGAAATTGGAAGAGTGAAAAAGGAAAAATGAACATGATTATGGCTAAAAAAATCTTAAAATATGGAGGTTTTATATTTCACAACCCCCACCAAAGAAAAAAAAAAAAGAAAATAAAAGGAAAAACTCACAAAGGCACCGAGAACTGAACCAGCCCGGTTTTCAATGATATGTCCCAAAATCGAATTGTTCTTTAGACGAATCGGACCTGAACCAATTGGTTCTAATTGGTTCCACTGGTTCTGGGAAAAAATGTCCACCTCTATGCTTAGCGAGATCAGGATCGTTTTATTTGATGGTACGCCAACTTTACAGAATCATAAAATTTGTGGCATGTAACTTAGTCCCTATTTGGTCTCTATTATAATTTAATATATTTTTATGTCTCCTTATTTTAATTGTACATTATTCAATAAAATAATATTAAATGTAAATTTAATTTTTTTTAACATACATTTTTCAAAAAAATCACTATTGCAAAAATTCATTATAGTAAATCCCAAACATGGGCTTAAGATTATGATGTGTGGGGTCGGCATACACGGGAACATAGGTTTATTCATGTACTTTTGTTAATAGAATCGTGAAATGATGTTTGGCTAATCTTAAAGTTTATTTTTTAAAATAAAAAGTTAAATTATTTATAAAGTTAAAATGTATTGATTTTTTATTTTGAAAATAAAATTTTACTTTTTAATTATTGGCAAACGTGATCTTTCTACAATTTATCGAATGTTCTAGAAAATTCTTAATTATGTTCAATAGCTTTGACCAAGATGAATTGATCAAATGAAACTCTAAAGGATAACATTGT